CTGAAAAAAGACAAATGTCCATCCAGTTCAACCTTAGAAAAAAAAGTTATTATCCTGCACCCACAGTTCATCCAGAGGAAGGCAAAAAAACCCAGCAAAGCACAATCCAATTTGCTTCTGCTGGGAAAAGAATTCCTTTCTGATCGGATCGAATCGGATATTCCCTGGATCAACTTTACCTATAAATGTTATATCCAGTTATATTCTGTGTATCCAAGAAAGAATCCAGGACTTTCCTACAGCAATCCACTGAGCTGGCCACAACCAACTCTTGAGGGAGTCTATTCCACATTCTCACAGCTCTCACTGTGAAGAAATCTTTCTGTGTAGGTCAGGGGTGGTCACATTTCTTGATATAGGGGGACTCAGGTGCGGCCCCAACATCACCAAAAGGACGTACATAAAATTCAGTGAATATTCATTATCAGAGTCAGAAGACACACAACATGATATAGTCAAAGAACATGGGAATGATCAGGGCTTTTTTCTCAGAGAATAGGTGCAGGTACTCCCTCTTTGGAGTCACCCCTTGTCTCTGCCCCCCCAACTCACCTCCAAACACCATCTCTTGGTTCCTCCTACCTCTATTCCAGTATGGCCCCGTTTAGGGAATACAGAACTAAGTAAGCTAAGTGAGTAATTTGTATTGGAACTTGTTAATGATATAAAGAAAAGCAGTAAAATAGATCTCTGTACAGCCTGCAACAAATACCCTCCTAGCAACAATAGATCCACCAGTGTAGAAGTGGAAAATCCAGTTACTCCTGAGCTTGGGGATTGACTCAGTATTGGTTGGGCACCAGGGATTCAGGGTACCCCTTTGTGTGTGCCACAATCTCACTGTATTACTATTTGAATTAACATTAGATCAAGGAAATTCCGTCCTTTGATGTCACATATACGGCCGTCACGATCTCTCACTCTGGAAAGATGATATTTACGGGCACTGCCAGCGGCACTGTACGATCCATGAAATGCCCCCTTCCTCCGCAGAAGGAATATAACGAGTACCAGGGCCATGCAGGGCCAGTGATAAAGGTGAGATCAAAGCATTTATTACTTTTAGAAAATGCACTATAAATGATGTTGTTCTCTCCAATTACAAAAATAAAGGCTTGTGATGTTAGCAAAAATGTGGGTTTTCTTTGGTGTCCACCAGAAACCCTCGAGACATACTGGTATATGGCTAAAGAAACCCTAGCTTAAACTTCTTGTAAGACCGGGCAATCGGTGTGTTAAATGGCCAACGCTTTGTGGACACATGATCATCGCACCTACGTATATAAGCTTATTGGCTATCTCATTCCAAAACCATTAATAACGTGTTGCCCTTCTTTGGCTATAACGACCTCCACTCTTCTGACTTGCCATAACAGTTTGGAGGGTGCCTGTGGCTCTCTCTTTCCATTTTTTTCTTTAACCCACGATGGTGCGCAAAAACACAACATCTGTAAGTGAACAAAAAAATGCACGTGAAAAACACACACAAACAGTGTGTCTCCAGTCCACCTCCCGAAGAACTAGGACCTTACCGTGACCCAACTTCGCTACTCTCTTGACTAGGGCAAAGCACACTTGTGGGCCACGTGGCCAAAAGGCCTGGCAGACCCCTCTCCTCATGGTCAACTGAAGCCGACCAAGTACAAGGTGACAGGCTCTCCCGAATAGAGACGACCCCCCCGTTCAAGGGAGGAAGGAACCTGATGGCCACACATCCTCCACCTAGACTTGCAGTCGGTTAACAAAAATTGCCCCAAACTTATCCAAAAGGCCTAGCCCAAGAGGGGCTGTGTAGATGAAAGCAGCAAGTGACATGGCCTCATTCTCACTGAGATATTAGGATCACCCCTTGGGAGACCAACCTCCAGGGGGCAGCACTGTATAGCACTGTATAGGCCCCCCCTTACCTGTATAGCCAGTTTTGTGGTAAAGGTGAACTTTATTAACTGTATTTCCTTATGAAAACACAATACGTAATCGCAATAAGATAAAAGCCACCATAAGCCAAAATTGACCGGATGGCACAAAAATGTTCGGCCTTGCTACCACTGAAGAGGTCACTTAAGGTCTTCTCAGAAACCCGCCTCACCACCTGCCGCCTTGAACCTGTCCCCACACAACTCCTCCGGTCACCCTCCTCCTCCATCCTACACTCCCTCACCCACATCTTCAATCTCTCCCTCTCTACTGTCGTATTCCCCTCCCCCCTAAAGCACGCGCATATCACTCCCATACTCAAAAAACCCTCCCTGGATCCCACCGACCTGAGCAACATTAGACCCATCTCCCTGCTGCCATTTACATCCAAACTCCTTGAGCGCTTAGTCTATAATCGCCTAAGCTCCCACCTCAATGACAACAACCTCCTTGATCCCCTACAGTCTGGCTTCCGTCCCCTACACTCCACCAAAACCCCCCTACTCAAAATCACCAACTACCTGCTAACCACCAAAGCTAATGGCCACTACTCAGTTCTCCTACTCCTCGACCTCTCCGCGGCCTACGACACAGTTGACCACCCCCTCCTCCTTAAAAAAACTATACTCCCTTGGCATCAGAGACTCCACTCTCTCCTGGCTCTCCTCCTATCTATCCCAGTGCTCCTTCAGTGTTAAATATAACGCTGCCACCTCCCTCTCTCTGTTGGGGTCCCCCAAGGCTCTGTCCTCGGGCCCCTTCTCTTCTCCATCTACACATCCTCCCTTGGCCAACTGATACACTCCCACGGGCTTCAACTATCACCTCTACGCCGATGACACGCAAATCTACCTCTCTACCCCTCGCCTCACCCCTTCAGTCTCCGCCCGAATCACCTGCCTACTGAACGACATATAAGACTGGATGTCACTCCACTTCCTCAAATTAAACCTTTCCAAAACCGAGCTCTTAGTTTTCCCCCCAGCCCGCGCTCCCCCATCCTCTCCATCACGACCAATAACGCCAGTCCCACCCCGCAAGCCAAAGTCCTAGGTGTCATTCTAGACTCCATTCTGTCCTTCCAACCCCATGTCCAATCGCTGGCAAATTCATGCAGGCTCCACTTCCACAACATCTCTAAAATATGTTTGTTCCTAACCCCAGACACTACTAAACAACTCATTCACTCCCCTATTATCTCACGACTCGACTACTGCAACTCCCTCTTCACCGGCCTACCTCATCACAGACTATCCCCGCTTCAGTCTATCCTGCACTCAGCGGCCAGACTCATCCACCTTACCAACCGCTCCGTATCCACCACCCCCCCTCTGTCATTCCCTCCACTGGCTTCCGATTGCCCAACGCATAAAATTCAAACTACTAACATTCACGTACAAAGCCATTCATAATACTGCCCCAAACTACCTCACCGACCTGATATCCACATACCACCCCCACCCGTACTCTTCGCTGCTCACGAGACCTCCTACTCTCTAGCTCCCTAGTCTCCTCCTCCCATGCCCGACTCCAGGACTTCTCCAGGACTTCCCCCATCCTCTGGAACTCCTCTCCTCCACTCCTCCTACCACTGCATCCCCCACAGCCACTTCCTCCTGTACCACTACCCCCTCCCTCCTAGATTGTAAGCTCCAAAGAGCAGGGCCCTCGAACCCCTCGTGTATTGTATTGTCACTGTATTGTCTCATGTACTGTCCCCCACTATAATGTACAGCGCTGAGCAAACTTTTTGGCGCTATATAAATACTGTATAATAATAATAATGTTCTGGATTGGGTTAAAATCTCTGTATATATGTTATTATACACTATATTGCCAAAAGTATTGGGCCGCCGGCCTTTACACACACATGAACTTTAATGGCATCCCAATCTTAGTCCGTAGGGTTCAATATTGAGTTGGCCCCGCCCTTTGCAGCTATAACAGCTTCAACTCTTCTGGGAAGGCCGTCCACAAGGTTTAGGAGGGTGTCTATGGGAAGGTTGGACCATTCTTCCAGAAGCACATTTGTCAGGTCAGGCACTGATGTCGGGGGAGGAGGCCTGGCTCACAGTGTCCACTCTAATTCATCCCAAAGGTGTTCTATCGGGTTGAGGCAGGACTCTGTCTTGGTACGCTGATGAAAAGTTTCCCTTCTCTGGAACTAAGGGGCCAAGCCCAACCCCTGCAAAACAACCCCATAATCCCCCCTCCACGAAGCCTTACAGTTGTCACAATGCAGTCAGGCAAGTATCATTCTCCTGGTAACCACCAAACCCAGACATGTCCATCGGATTGCCAGACAGAAGCATGATTCATCACTCCAGAGAACACGTCTCCACTGCTCTAGAGTCCAGTGGCAGCGTGCTTTACACCACGGCATCCAACACTTTGCATTGCACTTGGTGATGTAAGGCTTGGATGCAGCTGCTCGGCCATAGAAACCCATTCCATGAAGCTCTCTATGCACTGTTGTTGGGCTCATCTGAAGGCCACACCAAGTTTGGAGGTTTTTAGCTATTAACTCTGCAGACAGTTGGTGACTTCTGTGCACTGTGCGCTTCAGCATGCGCTGACCCCGCCCTGTCATATTACATGTTGTTGTTGTTCCCAGTGGCTTCCACTTTGTTATAATACCACTTACAGTTGACTATGGAATATTTAGTAGCCAGGAAATGTCACGGATGGACTTATTGCACAGGTGGCCACTTATCACGGGACCACGCTTGGAGTCACTGAGCTCCTGAGAACGACCCATTCTTTCACTAATGTTTGTAGAAGCCGTCTGCATGCCTAGGGGCTTGATTGTATACACCTGTGTCCATGGAGGGGATTGGAACACCTAAATCCAGTGATTTGGAGGGGTGTCCCAATGCTTTTGGCAATATGTATATACCTGATCATTCATTTTACATAATAACTTATAACTGTTCAATCCACAGACTTGGTCATTCATATCTTTTTTTTTCAGTTTCCTCCTTCCCTCTTTTGCGAGCTATAAATGGACTGTTCATCTGTCATTTTATTTTCATTTTCTGTTGTTCAGTTTCTTGCATGTTCAGCCCTGAGTGTGACCCAATCTCTTCTTATAGCTGGTGGTAACATATGACGACCAGTATCTTCTGTCCGTTTCTGAAGATGGCTGCCTAATGCTGTGGAAAATCTCAGACAAAGAGAGTCGAGGACTGAAAAAGGATAAAGAACTGGGGTATGCCGAAGAGGTTCTGATTACCAAGTCTGATCTGGAGGAGAAGGTAAGCATAAGCCACCATATTATGAGAAGAACCTAATTAGGTGTTCTTGCATAGCAACCACTTCCTGTTATCTCACATATATATTCGGATTATTATAGCCAAATTTACCCCCCTAACTCCTCCCACAGTTTTTACACTACATAGACAGTAATATCCCGAAACGTGCGGATTGTTCCCGATTGGTGTGCTATTACTTTGTGGAACATTTCGCCGAATGGTTCACGGAATATTGGCGTTTTTGTGGTGAAATTGGTCCCATAGGAATGAATGGCGGAATGTTCAAAACTAGAGTGGGAGCTGACAAAAGCTAGAGTGTGAGTTGAAAAATCAGGACATGATTTCTAACCTGCCATCACTCCCTCATTTTCAAGCCCACCTACACAAATCGTATATCAAAACGTTCAGCTATCCCTGCTGCCACTAAAAATGTCCACGGCTAGGCCATAGTCCTGATAGTTTTCACAATATGACCATTTGTTTGCAACTCACGCCGCCCATTGACATTCATTGAAACTCCACTCTAGCCACCTCACATTGCAATTAAATGTGCTATATAAATAATTAAAAGTTGAAATGCATTTCTCACTCTATCAAGCTTGCCATGTGCACTTTTTAAATTTGATCAATCAATTAGTTAGTGTAATGTTTACTATCTTTACTCACTCCAAACAGTTACTCTGCCCACTCCATAAAGTGACTCTGCCCAGTCCAACCTTTTCACAGTTACTCCAGCCACTCCAACCACACAACAGTTACTCCGCCCACTCCATAAAGTGACTCTGCCCAGTCCAACCTTTTCACAGTTACTCCAGCCACTCCAACCACACAACAGTTACTCCGCCCACTCCACCCAGTTACTCCACCCACTCCAGTTGTAGACTACTGGTGGAGGCAAGAACACTTGACACAATTTCCCCAGAAATTGTAGCTTTTCTAGTTTTTATTCTTCTTCATAGCTTATAGCAGAAGAGATTGCCACTCCCAAGCTCACATTGTACATTAATATCTGGAAGTACAGGAATCAGATAGAGCTTGTCCACACTCTGCATTGACACTTTAGAAACATAGAAAAGTGATAGCAGCAAAAAATCCAAGTGGTCCATCGAGTCTTCCCTTTTTTTTTAACCACTTGGCCTCCGGAAGATTTTACCCCCTATATGACCAGACCCTTTTTTGCTATTTAGCACTGCGCTACTTTAACTGGCAATTGCTCTGTCATACAAACAGTGTACCCAAATGAAATGTATGTCATTTTTTTCACACAAATAGAGCTTTCTTTTGGTGCCATTTGATCACCACTGGGTTTTTTTATTTGTTATTATATAAATGAAAGAAGACAGAACGTTAAAAAAAAAAAAACCCACAATATTTTCTACTTTCTGTTATAAAACATGTCCAATAAAATCTAATTTCTTCATAAATGTTGGCCAAAATGTGTTTTGCTACATGGTGAAAAAAAAAAGCCAAAGTTTTGGGGGACACTATACTATTGGGGACACTAGTATAGTTCTGACCGTAACCAGGATACAAACCTGGACAGACACTATACTAGTAATGGCTGTGATCAGCAACTTTTAGTGAGACTGTGGTAGTGTGGTGGGGAATCAGGGACTGGCGCTAACTGACACTGGCTGGGAATGACACTGTCTGACATTGCTAGTGACACTAACACAGTGATCAGTGATAATACTGTACACTATCACTGTACTAATGGCACTGGCTGGGTGACATGGGTGATCGGGGGGGGGCAATCAAAGGGTTAACTGTGTGCATAACAAGTTTGCTGATTCTGCTCACAGACTAGCTGGCTTTCCTCCCTGATTTCAGCTCTGAACGGTAAGTGAAAACAGGGAGAAGAATCAGCCAGATTTGGCTTAAGTGTTTACTAACACATACAGATCTGTGCTGTGATTGGCCACAGGAATCAGCAGGTTACAGCCAAAATTATTGGCTGCAAGCCCGCTGACAAACTTGTGCTGTGTCCAACTACAGCACAAGAGCAGAAGGTGCAGGCGCGAATCAGAAACTAGGAAGGAACAACAAAAGCTGCTGTCCAGCAGGAATAGTTAAACTGCTAGTCGGTTACATTTATAAATGTTTTTGTATTGTTTGTTTTTTTCTTTGGGGTTCTAATTATCAGTTTTTTATTTTATTTAATTTTATTTTAGATAGAGTAAGGGAGGGTTATAACTCCTGTCAGTTTATTTTTTGCCATGTGCGCTCCATTGGGGAGATTTACTTTTACTTCCCGTCTCATTGCCAAAACAGGAAGTCGAAGAAAATCCCTGAAAATTGAGGGAATTCCTTGGGGACCCCCAGGTCACCAGAACTAGTGTCTCTATTGGAAAATTTTCCAGCTATTAATATTCTGGGGACAACCCAAAATTTGGTCTTTTCTTTTAGTTTCACCTTCTATGATCATGGTGAACAGGACAAATAGAGAGGATGAATCTTCCTAAAAGGGGCATAGACAGCATTAAAAACTTGATAGGTGCTCTAACCCATCTCCAATCTAACCAAAACTAAAAAATCGTTTTGTCTTTAGTTATACTTTAAGGTGGAACTTCAGGTTGGGCCAAAACATAAAAAGTGACTCCCCCTTCCCCAGCTACGCAGAATATAATTACTAATTTTGTCTTGGGGACCTTGACTTTGTATTCTGTTTAATGATGAGATGCCCCAAGCAGGCTGGTAACCCGGCTGCATAAGTGGGGGTTAATGCAGAGAAAATAAAGTTATGCAGAGGTGGGATGAGCATCCTCTGGTTTTTACAGTCCTGTCGTTTTTATAGAACCAGGTGATGCTGGAGCTAAAGACCCGTGTGGAGGAACTGAAAATGGAGAACGAATATCAACTCCGCCTGAAAGACATGAATTATAATGAGAAGCTGAAAGAGCTGACTGAGAAGTTCATCCAGGAAATGGAGGTGCTGAAGACCACAAACCAGGTACAACCTTCTACTAAAGCCCCAATGTCATCAACCTTCCCTGGTTGGTACAAAGGAGTGCGCTACTAACTGTCCAATTCCTTCACCAGATCCTAAAGGCTGAAGCCGAGAAACAAGAGCTGAAACATCAGGAGGACATGGCTGAACTTATAGAAAAACAGTCTCAAGAGATGCAGGATCTGGGTATGTTAGATGGCACTTGGAAATATGTCTGCATACTGTACATACAGTATATGAGGTCTGAGGAAAGAACAAACAGAGGGCGCACAGGCCTAGTGTATTACCATAAAAAATGTTTAATAAAAAATGAAGTAGGTGTTGTACTCACAAACGACAATAAAGTTAGGGCTCTGAGGAAGAGGCAAGTACTTGAAACGCGTCAGCATATTGGATGTCTATACTCCCTATTGCGGACTGGTGTTGACCCAGCTGTTCTTTATGAAGTGCCTTGACTTTATTGTCATTTGTGAGTACAACACCTACTTTATTTTTTATTATACATTTTTTTATGGTAATGCCCTAGGCCTGTGCGCCCTCTGTTTGTTCTTTCCTCATTCAGTATATTTGGATTCCCCCGGTCTATTTGAGGGCAGCAAGGTGTGCATGTTCCAGGACATTCTTAATGTGGTTATAGCCTGCATCAAGTCCATCCCCAAGCGCAGGAGCATTTGTGTTTGCTAGTAAATGAGGTCTGTCCAGAAAGTATCCAGCCATGTAATATAAAAAATAGAGACTTTTTTGGAGAAGATACAAGAAACATGGTATATAGGACAATGACACCTCAGTACCCTTCAAAGATATGACTTCTATTGCGATGACTGGGCCTTCATTTCTGGATCATAGCTGTAGACTGTAGATTTAGCTCTGGTTATGACCTTCTTTAGGAAATCTAGTTCACTGGTTGCAGTTTAAAGCAAGTCATCAGCGACTGCAGCACAATGTTCCTTCTGCTCTGGCAGCAGAAGTTGTGGAACGAATTTTGCTACGACACGGTTCATGTAAAGATCCTGGAAAAAGATCTCAAACACAGAAGTTTTTGGAATCTCTATGTAGGCAGGTGTAGTTGGTATTCCCCACTGTTGGTGGTGCTTGACCGAAGAGGCAATGCAGAAAGGGAAAGAAGGCGCGAGGAATTGATCTATGACTTCCTGTTGTCATAGGGAGACAGCTGTATTTTTGGATGCTGGTGCGGCCATCTTGGGTGAGAGCAGAACCTATTTAAGTCCCTGGCTCCCTGATTTGGCATGCTTTGTGTGAGTAGCTAGTGTAGGGACAGGTTTCCCATCTGTTAGGGACAGTGTTTAATGGCAAGGAGAGGTTCCAGAGGAGTAGGGAATGGGACCAGGTTGTGCCCTCTGAGGAAGTCTCCCCTTTAGGTGTGGACCAGCCAGGCCACATTACTGTAGAGGCCGTCAGCATCATTTCAAGGTAACGATCTTCTGCTCTTGTTTGTGGTGGCTATGGTTGGATGTGTCTTTCTTCCGGGCTTGAACTGTGCATTGTTGGGACTTTCTCAATATACTGTTCTCATCCACTTTGGCCTGTATCATATTCTTTGTCGCTGGCCTACCACGCTGCATCCCACCCACACTCAGGTCAGCTTCTAGATCTTGCATTGCAGCCTGTACACATTCAACATTCCCAGGTGTTCTGCTTGTTGTAGGCCTTCTATAACATGGATCACTTTCAACAGATTCTCGACCATCTTTGAAGCATTTGTGCCACACCTTTATATGCGTTGCACTCATTGCATAGTCCCTGAAAGCCTCCTAGATCATCAGAATAGAAATGTTCAAAAGTAATGCAAAATTTGATGCAGATTCGTTGCTCTACTTGCTGAGTCATTTTGATGCAATGGCCAAACACTACACATGCTTACTCAAGGTCTAGGGCAGGGGTGTCAAACTGGTGGCCCTCCAGCTGTTGCAAAACTACAAGTCCCATCATGCCTCTACCTTTGGGAGTCATACTTGTAACTGTCAATCTTGCAATGCCTCATGGGACTTGTAGTTTGGCAACAGCTGGAGGGCCAGCAGTTTGACACCTGCGGTCTAGGGCCTCCACTGACTAGTGCAGTGAAGTCGTCACTGTGTACGCATGTGCAATCCAGTCCTTGGATGCCAGGTTACATCGACGTTGTGAAAACCGTTCTCGATATATTAACAATGGCTGGACTTTTCCAGACAGACCTCATATATTGCTTTAGTAGTGCATCGGTACATAGAAAGATCTACACATATACATCAATTAGGGACAGCTCTGGTAATTTTTTTGGCGTATTAACAGCTAAACTCCAGGTAAGCAGCTAAATATATGACATACATAAAACAATCTGGGTACAGAGCTATTCACAACAGCCTTGCACCATGTGACAAGCTGTGACCAATCACAGCTCTCACAGTATTTCTCAATGGCTGCAAGAATGCAGACAGAGAGAAAGAGAAATGATTGCTTTTACAGCCTTTATGGGTGTAAAAGCAATCAGTGTAAAAAAAAATCTTCATCATCCCCCACTATGGTGACACTGTACTGCTAGGGTGACAGTATGTTAAATAAATAAATAAATAATAATATCAAAAAAATAAAAATGTAAAACAAAATTTAGAAAAATTATAATTTTTGCTTAAAAAATAATTTGGGTTATTTTTTTTTACTAAAAAGATAACTGAATAAATTTTGGCCAAGATTTATGAAGAAAGATTATTTATTTGCAAACTTTTATAAGAAAAACACTTTTTTTCAAAATTTTTGGTCTTTCATTTATATAGCAAAAAAAAAAAATAAAAAATCCCAGCGGTGAATAAATATCATCAAATAAAGTTTTATCTGTCTCAAATAAATGTTAAAACATTCATATGGGTACAGTGTTGCATGACCACGCAATTGTCATTCACAGTGTGATAGCGCTGAAAGCTGAAAATTGGCCTGGACAGGAAGGGGGGGGAAAGTGTCCGGACTGGAGGGGGGGGGGAAGTGTCCGGACTGGAAGGGGGGAAAGTGTCCGGACAGGAAGGGGGGAAAGTGAAAGTGTCCGGACTGGAAGGGGGTGAAAGTGTCCGGACTGGAAGGGGGGAAAGTGTCCGGACTGGAAGGGGGTGAAAGTGTCCGGACTGGAAGGGGGTGAAAGTGTCCGGACTGGAAGGGGGGAAAGTGTCTGGACTGGAAGGGGAAAAGGGTCTGGACTGGAAGGGGGGAAAGTGTCTGGACTGGAAGGGGGGGAAAGTGTCCGGACTGGAAGGGGGGGGGAGTGTCCGGACTGGAAGGGGGTGAAAGTGTCCGGACTGGAAGGGGGTGAAAGTGTCCGGACTGGAAGGGGGGGAAAGTGTCCGGACTGGAAGGGGGGGAAAGTGTCCGGACTGGAAGGGGGGGAAAGTGTCAGGACTGGAAGGGGGGGAAAGTGTCGGGACTGGAAGGGGGGGAAAGTGTCCGGACTGGAAGGGGGGGAAAGTGTCCGGACTGGAAGGGGGGGGGAAGTGTCCGGACTGGAAGGGGTTAAAGGCATGGTACTGTACAGGGACATGATTAAAAAGAAATTTGTAAATGCACTGAAAATCAATAAATCCGTTCGTAAATTCGTAAACCTAGGAATTATATTTAATGGATTTTCATTCATAAACTTAAAAAAAAAAATTAAGTTAACCGAGGCGTTCGTAAACCGAGGTACGCCTGTAGTTAGATTTTTTGCTATAATTCTACTTTAGCACGCATTAAAATGCTCAGAAAGACATAAATAACGTAAAAATAATTGATTTAATTTAATAAGGCAATGCAAACAGCAATACAAATACTGTATGCAAAGTGCAGTAACCCATCATCACCATCAGATTGCACTAGTCAGTTTGGGCAATTATTTATTGTATTTATTTATTTCAGGTACTTATATAGCGTGATCAATTTACGCAGCACTTTACATATATATTGTACATTCACATCAGTCCCCGCCCCCGAGGAGCGTACAATCTAAGGTCCCTAACTCACATTCATACATACACATATTAGGGCCAATTTAGACAGGAGCCAATTCACCTACCAGCATGTCTTTGGAGTGTGGAAACCGGAGTACCCGGAGGAAACCCACGCAGGCACAGGGAGAACATGCAAACTCCAGGCAGGTGGTGCCGTGGTTGGGATTCAAACCAGTGACCCTAGTGCTGCCAGGCGGAAGTGCTAACCATTTAGCCACTGTGCTGCTTAAAGGTAGATTATGATGGGTTGCTTGTTGTGTTCTGTGCCTGTTGTTTTTTTTTTCATTCTTCTTTTTCTACATCTCCAGAGACGGCCAATAACCAGAAGCTGCTGCTGGAGTACGAAAAGTACCAGGAGTTGCAGGTGAAGTCGCAGCGGATGCAGGAGGAAGATGAGCGTCAGCTGCATGAACTGGAGGAGAGTAAGAGCCAGGCTCTAGAGGAACTGACTGAGTACTACGAAACTAAACTGCATGATAAGGTGTCCCAGCTGCAGCAGGTGAGCACAGGAGAGCCGAACGTTTCAATGTGGTATTGTAGCAGAGGGGACAACGCATGGTGCAACCTCCCACCTTGACTCCAGTCAGTGCTGTGCTGTAAAAGGAGGCCCACTTAGCCTCATGGGATAGGGGATCATGGGGCCCCTGTGTCCTTGCCCAAACTCAAAAAAGTCTATGAAAAAGGTACCAGAGGCATCTCATGGGGCCCCCTACTGACCCCTGGCCCTCAGGCAGTGCCCGAGTTTCCAAATGGTCAGTCCGCCCCTGGGCGTAACACAATGATTACCGCTAGCGCCTATTGCCACGCACAGTAATCAAATGTGAAATATCACTCAATTCCCCCATCAACACAGTCAGTGTTGATGGGAGAGTGCCTCCCGCAGCCCTGTTGTGTTCTGATGGTGGGGTGGGGGTGGGGGGGGCGTAACACAATGATTACCGCCAGCGCCTATTGCCACGTGCAGTAATCAAATTTGAAAAATCGAACAGGCTGGTTGTACTCAAGTCAACCAATGGATCTGCTTGGGCACAATCAGTCTGCCCATATGCGAATCTAATCCCATACGGTCCCTGCTGAACTGGACGAATTTCAATTCATGTTTGGCCGACTTTATGCTGGACTGTCGTTTTACAGGTGAGAGCCGCAGTGTCGCATTACATGAGACTGCTCTGTTACAGGAGAACTGTCATTTACTAAATAATGTTACTGCCATGCTACAGGAGACTGTTAGAGATTGTTCCTAAGGACATGGCCAGAGACTGCTACCAGTTTACAGGAGACTCTTGGAGCAGCCCATCCCAGTCAGGGTTCTGGGGCACCATGGGCTGCCATCTGGGTTTTGCGGGAGTGCCGTCTACCCCAAATTGCCCAAACACAAGCCAACTGATGGACCAAACCTGCCTTTTTTGTTAGATAAAGACACTGGTCTTTTTTTGCGCAGCATTAGAACCTTTTAGAACATTGTTATTATTATTATACAGGATTTATATGGCGCCAACGGTTTGCTCAGCGCTTTACATTATAGTGGGAGACAATACAGCAACAATACAGTTCAATACAAGAGGGATAGGAGGGCCTGATCCTGGGAGCTTACAATCTAGGAGGGGGGGTGAGTGGTACAGTAGGTAGTCACTGTGGGGGATGGAGTGGTTGGAAGAGTAGAGGATACCAGAATTAGCAGAGGGCGGGATAGGCTTCCCTGAAGAGAAAGGTTTTCAGTGAAAGCCGAAAGGCAAGTAGAGTAGGTGATAATCTGATAGATTGGGGTAGGGAGTTCCAGAGGATGGGTGACACCCTGGAGAAGTCTTGGAGACGAGCATGGGAAGAGGAGATAAGGGAGCTAGAGATTAGGCGGTCTTGCGAGAAGCGGAGAGTACGGTTTTTTGGGTGATATTTAGAGATAAGATCGGTTATGTAAGTTGGGGCAGAGTTGTGGACGGCTTTATATGTCTTTGTTAGAGTTTTGAATTTTATCCATTGGGCAACTGCAAGCCAGTGGAGGGATTGGCAGAGAGGGGTGGAGGACACTGAGTGGAGGTCAGTGGAGGGATTGGCAGAGAGGGGTGGAGGACACTGAGTGGAGGTCAGTGGAGGGATTGGCAGAGATGGGTGGAGGACACTGAGTGGAGGCCAGTGGAGGGATTGGCAGAGAGGGGTGGAGGACACTGAGTGGAGGCCAGTGGAGGGATTGGCAGAGAGGGGTGGAGGACACTGAGTGGAGGCCAGTGGAGGGATTGGCAGAGAGGGGTGGAGAACACTGAGTAGAGGTCAGTGGAGGGATTGGCAGAGAGGGATGGAGGACACTGAGTGGAGGCCAGTGGAGGGATTGGCAGAGAGGGGTGGAGGACACTGAGTGGAGGTCAGTGGAGGGATTGGCAGAGAGGGATGGAGGACACTGAGTAGAGGAGAGTGGAGGGATTGGCAGAGAGGGGTGGAGGACACTGAGTGGAGGTCAGTGGAGAGATTGGCAGAGAAGGGTGGAGGACACTGAGTGGAGGCCAGTGCAGGGATTGGCAGAGAGGGGTTGGCAGATACAGAACGGTTAGTAAGGTGGATGAGTCTGGCAGCAGCATTCATGATAGACTGAAGGGGGCATAGCCTGCGATGAGGTAGGCCAATGAGGAGGGAGTTACAATAGTCGAGGCAAGATATGACAAAGTATATATGATTATCTTTTATTTATTTGTGTTTTTATTTTACATTTATTTACCGCACCCCCCACACCCCCCTAGTAATGCCACTGCCCACGGATGTTCCTGGCACACATTTGAGAGCTGTATTATTGCGAGCAAAGACTTTGGTGTGGACAATCATACCAGCAGTTGGTGATGGTTTTGCCAAATGCATAGCTGTAACCCCAGCTTTAGATCAATGAAAAAAAAGTTTTTCGAGGCTTTGTGAAAGAAGTAGCCATTCTCAATCAGGATTCCTTCGGAGGTTGAGATTGATTTCTGATTTGGTAGTGCCTTCATGCCATGACACCAATGATGTTCTTAGCGGTCTTTAAGGGGGCATTTTTCCTACTGATAACCAATGTAAGGAGCATTTTTCCCATTGACCCCTGATTTATTGGGTTTAGCAGGGCTGCCCTATGACCTGAATATTATTTCAAGGGTTCCTCCAGGGTAAAAAGGATGAGCAAGGTTGCCCTAAACCAATGTCACATCTGTTTCACCAGACCCAGGATGAGGCCCGACAACACCACAGAGAGTATGAAGAGACGAAGAAGCAGATAGAGGAGGATGGAGACCGAGAGATCCAAGATGTAAAAATAAAATATGAGCGCCGTCTACGGGAGGAGAGAGAAACCGCACTGCGACTGAAGGGGGAGAACGGAATTATGAGGAAGAAGGTGAATAAATCCAAATTAATTTGTTCCTGTGTGTTCCTTCATTGCTTTCTTCATTCATCCCTTCATTACTTCCTTCCTTTTTTTTTCTTTTTTTTTATTGTTCCCTAAGGTCCATATAATGCAGTGCCACATAAATGAATTTCTTTAATAAAGACCACGGCTCTCATTTATCAATATCTAGAACAGGGGTGGGCAAACTTTTTGACTTGAGGGCCGCAATGGGTTCATATATTGGACCCGGGGGCCGGACCAAGAGTAGATGAATGATGTGTATGTGTCATCCATAGTAAGTATAGTAATATTCCCCCATAGTAAGCATAGTAATTAATCCCCCATATAGTAATTCATCCCCCATAATAATTCATCCCCCATAGTAATTCATCCCCCATATAGTAATTCATCCCCCATATAGTAATTCATCCCCCATAGTAATTCATCCCCCATATAGTAATTCATCCCCCATAGTAATTCATCCCCCATAGTAATTCATCCCCCATATAGTAATTCATCCCCCATAGTAATTCATCCCCCATATAGTAATTCATCCCCCATAGTAATTCATCCCCCATATAGTAATTCATCCCCCATAGTAATTCATCCCTCATATAGTAATTCATCCCCCATAGTAATTCATCCCTCATATAGTATTTCATCCCCCATAGTAATTCATCCCCCATATAGTAATTCATCCCCCATATAGTAATTCATCCCCCATAGTAATTCATCCCCCCTATAGTAATTCATCCCCCATAGTAATTCATCCCTCATATAGTATTTCATCCTTCATATAGTATTTCATCCCCCATAGTAATTCATCCCCCATATAGTAATTCATCCCCCCTATAGTAATTCATCCCCCCTATAGTAATTCATCCCCCATATAGTAATTCAACCCCCATAGTAATTCATCCCCCATATTAATTCATCCCCCCTATAGTAATTCATTCCCCATATTAATTCATCCCCCATATTAATTCATCCCCCATATAGTATTTCATCCCCCACAGTACTATTCCCCCCCAAGTAGTAAGCCAAGTCCCCCCTGTGTCAATTCACTTACCTTTGCTCCGCGTGTTCCTCTCGCCGTGTTCCCGCGCCGTTCCGGTCTTCAGGGCGGACTGTGAGAGGAGCCTAGCTCCCCTCACGTTCTTCACGCTGCCCCGCCTACACACATTCTGACAGCCGATGTTTGCCACGCTCCGCGGGCCGGATTAAAAGGTCCTCCGGGCCGTATACGGCCTGCGGGCCGTAGTTTGCCCATTGCTGATCTAGAACAACATTTATGCCAGTCCTAATACACAGCATTTAACAAAACGATACATGCAGCCATGGCCAAACGTTTTGAGAATGACACAAATATTCATTCTCACAAAGTCTGCTGCTTCAGTGTTTTTAGATCTTTTTGTCAGGTGTTACTATGAAGTAGAATTACAATCATTCCATAGGTGTCAAATTCTTTTATTGACAATGACATGAAGTTTATACAAAGAGTCAATATTTGCAGTGTTGACTCTTCTTTTTCAAGACCACTGCAAGTGGCCCTGGCATGCTATCAATCAACTTCTGGGCCACACCCTGACTGGTGGCAGCCCATTCTTGCATAATCAATGCTTGGAGTTTGTCAGAATTTGTGGGGCTTTTTTTTTTGTTCACCCACCTCTTGAGGATTGACCACAAGTTCTCATTTTGTATTAAGGTCTGGGGAGTTTCCTGCCCATGGACCCAAATTTCAATGTTTTGTTCTTCAAGCCACTTTTGCCTTATGGCAAGATCCTCCATCATGCTGGAAAAGGCATTGTTCATCGCCAAACTGTTCTTGGATGGTTGGGAGAAGTTGCTCACAGAGGAATTTTTGGACTATTCTTCATTCATGGCTGTGTTCTTAGGCAAAACTGTGAGTGAGCCCACTCCCTTGGCTGAGAAGCAACCCCAAAATGCCCCTCATCAATGATGGGGTACTAATCCTCCCACTGACACCAATGATGGGGTGATATTCCTCCTGCAGATGCTCCAACGATGGAGCACTATTCTTGACACTGATACCAGCGGAGGAGCACTATTCCTCCTATTGACACCAATGATGAGGCACAATTCCTCCTATTGACACCAATGATGGGGCACTATTCCTCCTATTGACACCAATGATGAGGCACAATTCCTTCCATTGATACCAATGATGGGGCACTATTCCTTCCCACTGACACCAATGATGGGGACTATTCCTCTATCTGACACCAACAATGGGGCAGAATTCCTTCCGTTGACACCAATGATGAGGCACAATTCCTTCCACTGACATCAATGATTATGCATTATCCCTTCCCAATGACACCAATGATGAGGCACTATTCCTCCCACTGACACCAATGATGGGGCACTATTCCTCCCACTGACACCAGTGAGTGGAGGACCAATCCTCACACTGTAACCAATGAAGGGGCACTATTCCTGTCACTGATACCAGTGGAGGGGCACTATTCCAGCCACAATTTATTTTCATAATACAGTATCATAATTGTAAGGGGAGCACTCTTTCTTTATCTATCTGTTATTCTGGATTCTCTGTATAGTTTATAATCAGTCTTACCCGTGGCCTGTCCCCTGTATAGTTCAGCAGCCTGCAGAAGGATATCGAAGACCGTGCCGCAGACATTGAGAAGATGAGGCTGGAACAGCAGAAGCTGCAGGGGGTGATCAAGTCTCTAGAGAAGGACATCCAGGGTCTGAAGAGAGAGATCCAGGAGAGGGATGAGACCATCCAGGACAAGGTGAGAGCCCCGGACATACACGGGTACCTGACTGTGCAGATTCCACCAATGGCAATTTCCGATACGTAATTAAAGTGGATCTTTTAGTAGTCATTTACAGCCTCATACTAAAGCAGTATACAGCGCTATGTAGCCAGGGCAATATACAGTATCAGGGGCGGACTGACCATATGGAAACTCGGGCATTGCCCGAGGGCCCGAGGTCAGTAGGGGGCCCCATGAGATGCCCCTGATACCTTTTTCATAGGCTTTTTTGAGTTTGGGCAAGGATACAGGGGCCCCATGATTCCCTATTGCCCGGGGGCCCCATGAGTTGTCAGTCCACCCCTGTACAGTATACAGGGCTATGTACGCAGGGCAATATACAGTATACAGGGCTATGTAGTCTCAGCAATATACAGTATACAGGGCTATGTAGTCTCAGCAATATACAGTATACAGGGCTATGTAGTCTCAGCAGTATACAGTATACAGGGCTATGTAGTCTCAGTAATATACAGTATACAGGGCTATGTAGTCTCAGCAATATACAGTATACAGGGCTATGTAGTCTCGGCAATATACAGTATACAGGGCTATGTAGTCTCAGCAATATACAGTAGGGCTAGTACAGGGGCTATGTAGTCTCAGCAGTATACAGTATACAGGGCTATGTAGTCTCGGCAATATACAGTATACAGGGCTATGTAGTCTCAGCAATATATACAGTATACAGGGCTATGTGGTCTCGGCAATATACAGTATACAGGGCTATGTAGTCTCAGCAATATACAGTATACAGGGCTATGTAGGCAGGGCAATATACAGTATACAGGGCTATGTAGTCTCAGCAGTATACAGTATACAGGGCTATGTAGTCTCAGCAATATACAGTATACAGGGCTATGTAGGCAGGGCAATATACAGTATACAGGGCTATGTAGCCTCAGCAATATACAGTATACAGCGCTATGTTCTGGTGGTGGGACTTCCCATCTCACTCAGCGCCGCTCAGCCATTCACAGGAAGTTTTGTATTTTATGAATGAATACAAAGCTTCCTCGGATTGGCTGAGGTGGAAATCATGATGCCATCTGCCCGCCTTTCTGCCTCCAACATATCATAATATACAGTAACAGTATAATTTTGCAGAAAGGCTTATCCTTTAACATTAAAATGCCACCATTCAGCTCCAGTTAGTGACTATGCCTAGGCTGAGATGATGTCATCTGTCTGCTGCAGCAGGAGGAAGCATTTCCTCAGTCTCCCTTCCCCCCAGTGATCAGACTGTACATTGCAACTTTGTAGCAATTCACAAGGTGAGAGGCTGCAGCAGAGGCAGATCTGTGTTAGAGATTTGTGAAAACAGCCGAAAACAGCACCAGGATTTAAATGATCTTTAATCTGGCATCTCGGTCCAGGAAGTAGATGGTGACCCCCCCCAATATAACTCTGAGCAAAGTTGGCCATGTACTTCTAAAGAGAAAAGCAGATGAAAACATTGGGAGAGCACTAGCAAATTGTTCTTCGCATTAAAAATATATCTGATGCTAGGTCCACTTTATGGGGGTGCATCTATAAAACAAATTGTATTGCAATTGCAAAATCTTCACTATAGGACCCTGCATGCTGGGACCACTTCTGACAGCTGCCTATTGTGTTCTAATACCTGTATGTGACTCTCAGGGCTGACATCCCCTCTTCCATTGTCTGTAATCCAGGAGAAGAGAATTTATGACCTGAAAAAGAAGAATCAAGAGCTGGAGAAGTTCAAATTTGTTCTGGATTATAAAATCAAGGAGCTGAAGAAGCAGATTGAACCCAGAGAGAATGAAATCAAAGAGATGAAGGAGCAGATTCAGGAGGTGAAACATCTGTCTTGCCCTCTTACAAACCTTTTTCACAGCACTGCGTATCATACATAACCACCATGTTTGTTTCTTTCTCTTTTTCTTTTTTTTTGTTTTTTTTTTTATAAAATAATTTATTTTACACTTTTTTATCCTTTTTTGCATCTCAGTGCTCCTGATCACCTGCATCATGTTTGCAACCCTTTTCAGGTCTGCATGCACTCCAGCCAGAGGTGTCTCTAGGGTTGGTGTCACCCGGTGCGATAACACTTGGTGACACCCCCTCCGGCGATCCCCACAGAATGGATCGAATCTGTGGATTCCGCATAATGGATCGGACTGCGATCCATTATACTCAGTCCGCAGATCCGATCCATCCTGCGGGGATCGTCGGCTTTCTTTACAACTTACCTTTTCTTGGAGCAGGTCCGGTGTCACCCCGTATAGGTTGCATGCCGACGATCCCCGCAGGATGGATGGGATCTGCGGATTGGGTAGCGGCAAGATGAGTCTCCCATGTAGATGTCCCCCTGAAGCAACTGCGCATGTCCTGGTTTCAGGCACAATCAATCGATGATAGCAGTAGTTCTATCATCGATTGATCATGCCTGAAACCGGGACATGCGCAGTTGCTTCAGGGGGGACATCTACATGGGAGACACATCTTACCGCTACACTGGTGTCACCCTGTATAGGTTGCATGCCGACGATCCTCGCAGGATCGTTGGTATGCAACCTATACGGGGTGACACCGGACCCGCTCCATGAAAAGGTAAGTTGTAAAGAAAGCTGGCAATCCCCACAGGATGGATCGGATCCATGCTGCGGGGATCGTCGGCTTGCTTTACAACTTACCTTTTTGTGGAGCAGGTCCGGTGCAGGGGCGGACAACTCATGGGGCCCCCGGGCAATAGGGATCATGGGGTCCCTGTATCCTTGCCCAAACTCAAACCACACCCAAAAAAGCCTATGAAAGGTACCAGGGGCATCTCATGGGGCCCCTTACTGACCCCGGGCCCTCGGGCAGTGCCCGAGTTTCCAAATGGTCAGTCCGCCCCTGGTCCGGTGTCAGACCCGTGTGTCACCCCGTCACCCGGTGCGGACCGCACCCCCGCACCTGCCTCGGGACACCACTGACTCCAAACAATGGCTGCATGGCATTTTTCAGGCAGATTTCCTGAAGGTGACAACTATGGACCATGTCTGCATTATAGGTGTTAAAGTGGCCCCTGTGGCAAGGCAACAATGCAGAAGCACAATCAGAAGGCAGGGCGTGGTCGCCTTATAGCACAGGTGTCAAACTGGTGGCCCTCCAGCTGTTGCCAAACTACCATGTACCATGTAAAGTCCCATGAGGCATTGCAAGATTGACAATTACAAGCGTGACTCCCAAAGGCAGAGGCATGATGGGACTTGTAGTTTCGCAACAGCTGGAGGGCTGCCAGTTTGACACCCCTGCCTTATAGCTATTGCAAGACATTGGGGGTTATGTACTAAAACTGCATGGTGCAAAATCTGGTGCAGCTCTGCATAGAAACCAATCAGCCTCCAGTTTGTTTTTTTGTCAAAGCTTGATTGAACAAGCTGAAGTTAGAAGCTGATTGGTTCCCATGCACAGCCACACCCGATTCTGAGTGCTCCGGTTTTTGTAAATCGCCCCCATAATTTTAATGAAAGTTCCGGCTTCTGACTTCCGGCTTCTGGACTCTTTATTCTAAAGAAAAATGTAATTTCATAAGTTTTAAAGGGGCATGGTTGGGGGCAGGGCTGGGGGAGGGGTTGGGAGACGGGCCAGGGGGTTGGGTTGGGAGACGGACTGGGGGTGGGGTTGAATGCGGACCTGGGCAAGGTTGGGTGGGGCAACTGGTGTAGAGTAAGGTTTGTGCCTGGCTAGTAGGTCTAGACTCGATAGTATCCTAGTTGGGACTCAAACCAACAACCCTAGAGCTGCTAGGCGGAAGTGCTAACCACTCAGCCACTGAGATGCCTATAAAATATATATATATATATATATATATATATATATATATATATATATATATATATATAATTTTTTTTTTTTTGGGGGGTTTTTCTTTTTTAAACATATGGAGGGAATATGTTGGCCCCCCGAAAAGTGCGTTGGCTGTTTTATGACCCATTTATGAACAATTAAAGTTTCTTTGATTCTTTCATCCTTTTTGGTCTGGCTTTCCTTTCTATATTCTCATGGTTTGGGTTACTTTCGATACACATTTTTGGGAAGCCTTGCTGTTTGTGGGCCGCCTATTTAAAGCCACAGAATTTATCTGAAATTTCTCCACACTTGACTGCATGAACAATATTGTAAGGGCCAGCGCCTCTTTCATCTGTTCCTATGAAGTTCTATAACCTCTGCCTGTCCTACAGATGGAGGCTGAGCTGGAGCGCTTCCACAAGCAGAACACCCAGCTAGACCTCAACATCACAGAGCTGAAACAGAAGCTGAAGGCTACAGACCGGGAGATGCAGAGGGAGCGGCAGAAGGTGAGTCGGTGTCCTGGAGCATGATCAGCTAAATGTATAAAACATACTGTATGTCAGGGTATCGAATTAAAATTCATGGAGGTCCAGTCAGTAAAATTTTTTTTCCAGCCTATGTCCAAATCTCATGTTTGTGCAATAACTCTTAGGCTAGCTTCACATTTGGGGAATGTAAACAAAATTGCGACCCACAGAGAAATGCGCTGCAGTTTAGCAAATGCCTTGGGGTGCCATTAATTCTTAATGGCACCCCCACAAATCGGCACCTACAACACATTTTCGCGCGCACCAAACCACATGCAGCTTGATGCGGTGCGATAAAAAGGGGGGGGGGGCAATATTTTTTCCTCTGAATTTTGCCTGAGTGGGTGCTAACATGTATGCACAGATTTTAATCGAGCCTCATATCCAAATCTCATTCTTACATCAGCATCCTTCATCCCCCTTCACAGTACAGTCCTTAGCCCCTTACATTACTGTCCTCAGCCCCCCTCACATTACTGTCCTCAGCCCCCCCCCCTCACATTAATGTCCTCAGCCCCCCTCCCATTACTGTCCTCAGCCCCCCTCACATTACTGTCCTCAGCCCCCCTCACATTAATGTCCTCAGCCCCCCTCACATTACTGTCCTCAGCCCCCCTCACATTACTGTCCTCAGCCCCCCCTCACATTACTGTCCTCAGCCCCCCCTCACATTACTGCCCTCAGCCCCCCTCATGTTAATGTCCTCAGCCCCCCACCCCCCCCCATTACTGTCCTCAGCAACTTTATATTGTCCTAAGCCCCCCCACCCCATTACAGTTCTCAGTCCCCCCATTACAGTTCTCAGTCCCACAATTACAGTCCTGATCCCATCCATTACTGTCCTCAGCCTCCTCACATTACTGTCCTAAGCCCCCCTTATCGGTCCTATCCTGGAACATTGCTTATAGTGCCCCAGTGCTGTCCATTCACTGAGCTATTGCTCTTAGATTGTAAGCTCCCAGGATCAGGGCCCTCCTAACACTCTTGTATTGAACTGTATTGTTGCTGTATTGTCTCCCTTTATATTGTAAAGCGCTGAGCAAACTGTTGGCGCCATAAATCCTGTATAATAATAATAATAATAAATATAAATCCTGTATAATAATAATAATATAAATCCTGTATATAATAAAATAATATAATAAATAATAATAATATAAATCCTGTATAATAATAATAATAATATATAAATCCTGTATAATAATAAATAATAATAATAATTGCTGAAGGAACTGTTCTAAGAAGTAGCTGCAAAGAAAAGAGCACCCTCGTATTACTGTTCAGCCTTCTGGAGGATCCCACAACTCCCTGAGTCCTATCCAAGATAATCAGCAATAAAACCGCAACCCCTAGACTGTTTATGAAGCCAGTGTAATGTCGGTTACTGTGTGCCCGGCTGCCATGGCATCTGTGTGGTAGAAGAACCTGGGACAAGCTCAGCGGCTCATGCGGGGATAGCTCTGCACACATATTGTTAGACTGGCTCCTCTATTTTAGTTTCATGAGACAGAATAGTGATACAAGAAAAAGGTTCCGTATTGCGGCCCTGTCTAGGGATATATTGTAGAGGACGTGCCCCGTCTTAGAAGAGCTAGGCCAAGCGTTTCACTGACGGGACTGATCTGAAACGTAAAATCGCCATTTATATACGATGACCTTTTGACGAGTTTCCTTGTTATTTTGAAGACATGCAAATAATTCAATAGTCACATGACTAGACGCTACACTGATTGGCTTCCGGCTGTTATAATGTCACATCCTTCCAGTCAGGGCGTATTTACCACAAGGCAAACAAGGCAGTTGCCTAGGGCGGCATTTTTCAGGAGGGCAGCAACGCCCCCCTCCGGAAGAAGGGACACATACAGCAGGTGGGATCTGAGAGAAGCTGCAGATAGCTGGTGTGTATACAGATCCCCACTCTTCTTCCCAGGGATGTCCGGAGCTGTGAAGGTCAGGGGGGGTTGTATGTTAGTGGAAGGCTCGCTGGGGGGGGCAGGGGTGTTGTTGGTCAATGTTAGGCTCTCTCCATGGGGGGAAGGGAGGGGTGGTGTTGGTCTCTGTCTTGCTTTCTCCCCCCCCCCCCCCCCCCCCACCGGGGGGGGGGGGGGGGGCTCTGAGTTTTTTGTTGCCTAGGGCAGCACAAAACCAAAATACACCACTGCTCCCAGTAACACAACTAAAGAGCAGTGATCTATGGCACCTCTATGTGGAACTACTGTTTGCAGAATGTTAAAGTGGATCTTTCAATAATTTACAGATCTGTATGGATATATTCCTGACAGGAAACAATGTGCAGCAACATATCAACCACTCCACCTTTTATCATTGAAAAATCAGTCCTTGAGCTCCAATCAGTGACTTTTGCCTAGGTTGAGATGATGTCATTGGTCTGCTGCAGGCAGGAGGAAGCATTTCCTCAGTCTTCCCTCCCCCGGTGATCAGGCTGTAACATTGTAACTTTGTAGCAAAGTCACAAGGCGAGGGGCGCGCAGCAGGGGCTGATCTGTGTCAGATCTTTGTGAACACAGCCAAAAACTTCAAGGACAAGGGAGAGAATGCAGAACCGCAACTCTCTCCCCCGCTGCTAATGCATGACGTAGAACTGCCCCCTTGCTCCAGCTGCCCATGGTCATTTGTGAATACAGCCAAGAACTGCACCAGGATTTACATGATTGTGTCATCTCTGGGTCAGCAGCTCATTCCAGAAAGTAGCTGGTGACCCTGGATGATGCCTGAACAGAGATGGTGCCATTCTTCTTCTGGAGAAAAAGCAGGTAAAGGCATTGTCAGAGGGAGTCCTGTGATCTCTGTGAGTGGGAATAAATACTTGGAATGGCTACACTGACACACAGAATGAAAACACATTACTTAGAATGAAAGGTATATCTGATGACCGTCAGGGCGGACTGACAACTCATGGGGCCCCCGGGCGATAGAGGATCATGGGGCCCCTGTGTCCTTGCCCAAACTCAAAAAAGCCTATGAAAAAGGTACCAGGGGCATCTCATGGGGCCCCCTACTGACCCCGGGCCCTCGGGCAGTGCCCGAGTTTCCAAATGGTCAGTCCGCCCCTAGACAGGTCCATTTTAAGGCCCACTTGTTGCCGATGATCTGTTCCCTGGTAGTAATGAGCAGTTTATAACCCTTCAGGTTCGTGATGTCGAAGCCATAGTGAAACGCTTCAAGAGACAGACCTGCATAACTGCGTTGGATTTATTCAAGAACCCAAGAAGCTGAAGGACAGCATCCGGGAGCTGTACACCAAATATGTACAGGAGAGCGACGCAGTGAGTCTAAATGTGCATTTCCATGTCACCACTTCCATCGCAAATCAAAAACAAAAATGGTGTTCTTGGCAAACTTCGGCCAAAATGGATCATTTTGTTTGGGGAGTTTACCGAGGAGATGGACTGCCGTCCATATTTCAGAGGCTGCAGTAGGGAGATTTTCTTCTCTGCAGTTCGTGTTACCACTAGTGATGGTCTGAACACCCCCTGTTCGGTTCGCGGTCGAACATTCGAACCAAATGAATGTTCAAGCGCAAACTTCAAACTTAATGCAAGTCTATGGGACTCAAACTTGTAAATTCAAAAGTGCCCATTTAGAAGGCTTATATGAAAGTTATTGGCCATGAAAGGGTATGGGGGCTCGGGTACTGCCCTGAGGGACATGAATCAATGAAAAAAAAAACTAAAAACCCAAAAATACCGTTTTTGAAAGAAAAAAAAAAAAAAAAAAAAAAAAAAAAAAAAAAAAAAAAAAAAAAAAAAAAAAAAAAAAAAAAAAGAAAAAAAAAAAAGAAAGTCATTTTTCATTTCTTAAAGTAAAAAAAAAAAGCAAAAAAAGAAAAATAAAAATTCCTTCAAATATCATGCCTGGGGGGGGGGCGGGGTCCCCTTAAATTACCTGCAAAGTTACACATCTGTACAATGTAGAGAACTTTATGCAGCAGGACTGACATTTTTTTTTCAAAAAATGACATTTTTTAAAAAAAAAAAAAAATGAACACAGCGTGGGATCCCCCCAATCCATACCAGACTCTTTAGGTCTGGTAGGTAGGTTAGCAAGGACTCCCCAGTAAAAAAAAAAAAAAAAAAAAGTGTGTGGGGGGGAAAAAAAGCATGGGGTCCCCCTAAATTCCTACCAGACCCTTGATCTGAGCACCCAGCAGTGCAGGAAAAGGGGGGGGCAATGAGCGCCCCCCCCCGAGGCTTACCAGGCAACATGCCTATGAGGAAAAATGGGCCTCTTCCCCACAACCCCGGCCCAGTGGTTGTGGGGGCCTGCAGGCGGGGGAGCTCATTAGCATCAGGATAGCCCTTTAAATAAGGGGGCACCTTAATGCCGCCCCCCCTTGTGAATTAGTAAGGGGTACTTGTACCCTTACCCATTCACTAAAGGGTTACATTTAGTAAAAAAATAGAGACCTTTTCGAAATAGTCTTTTCAAAAAAATCTCTTATTGAATGAAAAACAGAACAAAAGTCCTTTACTAAAAAAAAAAGCCGAAAAAATGGTTCCATCGTAATCAATCGACAATCACGGCATCCAGCATTGTCACGACGACACTGACTCGCCGACATTTTAAGAAAATCCAACGCCCACTGACCCGTCCACACCCGCCGAGCACAATCTGGCATTTGCAGGTCAGATGTAAACAATTGGGCGGAGCTAGAGGTGACATCACCGCAAGCTCCACCCAATTATGCTGTGATTGTCCAAAGCATTGCACCTGACCTGACTTGAACATCCAGCCCATCACTAGTTACCACCCCTCTGCATAATGGAGAATCTTACAGAGAATGCAACACCATCATTTGCCGTTTGTAAAGGTTGGTGTTGATATACTTTGGACTTGTGCCGATGGCATCAATTTGACATCATTCAGAATTCATTGGCAGGTGCATTTGTTCTGCAAGCTGACCTCCTTCTGACGTGCATTTGACCTGCCTCTGACTTGCAGGTGACCGGCTTCTGACCTGTATTGCACCTTCTTCAAGAGGGTTTTGAATTCCCATAGACTTGTATGAGTATGTAAAACCTAATTAAAGTAAATAAAAGCCCATTGACACAGTCCTTGGTGGTCATCGCAGGCTTGGGTGCTTCACTGGAGATATCTCTCCACTCCAGTTCCTGAGAGATACACTATAAGGCCAAAATTATGTCAAGCCTCTTCGAATTATTGAGTTCAGGTTTTTCCAGTGAAGGGTACTAATAATACTACATCATGCAAAGGCATTTTAGACGATTGTGCTCTTCCACCCTTGTGGTAACGGTTTGGAGAAGGCCATTTTTTGTTCCAGCTCCAAGAAGACATGGTTTTAATGGGTCGGGTGTGGAGGAACCAGGGGCGGACTGACAACTCATGGGGCCCCCGGGCAATAGGGGATCATGGGGCCTCTGTGGCCTTGCCCAAACTCAAAAAAGCCTATGAAAAAAGGTACCAGTGGCATCTCATGGGGCCCCCCTACTGACCCCGCGCCCTCGGGCAGTGCCCGAGTTTCCAAATGGTCAGTCCCCCCCGGGAGGAACTTGAGTGTCTTGAATAGAGCCCTGACCTCAACCCTATTGAACACCTTTGGGTGAATTAGAATTTTGATTAGGACCACAGGTAACAGTTTGGAGAAGAACCTGTTCTGTTCCAGCATGACTGTGCCTCTGTGTACAAAGCCAGCTCCATAGAAACATAATTTGACCAGTTTGGTGTGGAGGAACTGGAGTGCCCTTCACAGAGCCCTGACCTCAACCCTACTGAACACCTTTGGAATACCTTAGAAGGCTGATTTTGAGCCAGGTCTTCTCTTCCAACATCAGTTTCTGACCTCCCAAATGGGCCCAAATTCCCACACTCCATATTTTGTGGAAAATCTTCCCAGACAAATGGAGGATGTTTTAGCCACAAAGGAAGAGCAACTCCATGTTAATACCCATGGTTTGGGAATGGGATGTCCAATACTTTCATATAGATGTGATAGTCAGGTGGCCACACAATTTTGGCATATAGTGTATAAGAATCCACAAATTTTGGGGAAGCTTTATCTTTTTAGGGTGGCAGGCATACTTCTGTGGTTAAATGGGCTGGAGATTCGATCTGAAATAAAGAGGTATGTATCCAGCTCACACACGGCTATGGATTTGAATGATAAATTACTCTTTTGCAACCACTGGCAGATGCCCTTCTAGCCTGTTCACAGTGCTGGATCGAGGTCCTTGAGCACTCAAGGCAAAAAGGAACAAGTTCACCCTCTTCCACCAATGAGAGAGTTCGCAGATCCAGCCCTTTTTGCACCCAATTTGTTCTGAAGCAACCAAGGTGGTCACCTTTTCTGCCTAACCTCTATGGCTATTTGGGTGCCAGTTCAGTAGACACAATTGTGGCTGTGGCCATGCCTACCAAGTTACAGTTGCAAGAAAAAGTATGTAAACCCCTTGGGATTCCGTGGAGTTTTGCATGAATTGGGCATAAAATGTGCTCTGAACATCATCTAAGTCACAACAATAGAAGAACACAGTCTGCTGAACATGGGATTCTTCTTTACCTCATGCAGCATTGTGCGCTGTGCTCTTGCAGTCATTTTTACAGGACGACCACGCCTAGGGAGAGTAGCAACAGTGCTAAACTTTCTCTATTTGTAGACAGTCTGTCTTACCGTGGACACATGAACATCAAGGCTTTTGGAGATACTTTTGTAACCCTTTCCAGCTTCATGCAAGTCAACAATTCTTGATCGTAGGTCTTCTGAGAGCTCTTTTCTGCAAGGCATGGTTCACATCAGACAGTGCTTCTTGAAACCAGTAAACCCAAAACAGGTGTGTGTTTTGTAAGGGCAGGACAGCTGTCAGCAACACATCCAATATCATCACACTGATTGGAGTCAAGGTTGGCTCACTCCTGGCTCCAATTAGCTCTGGGAGAAGTCATTAAGCTAGGGCCTCACATACTTTTTCCTCCCTGCACTGTGAATGTTTACATGTTATGTGCAATTAAACCATGGCAACATCTAATGTTTGTGTAGTATTATGTTCAGCAGACTGTGTTCTTCTATTGTTGTGACTTAGATGACGTTCAGAGCACATTTTATGCCCAATTCATGCAAAACTCCACGTAATCCCAAGGGGTTCACATACTTTTTCTTGCAACTGTACTTTCATCTCTCTCTCAATTGTCCATGCAGGCAGAGATTGTGGGTATAGATGCCGACATCCAGCGGGAGTACGCCCGCCAGCGGGAGCACCTGGAACGCAGCTTGAGCACATTACAGAAGAAACTCGCGAAAGACACGGAGATCCATCGAGTGGACAATGTGCGCATCATGCAGGTAAAATTACCGCCATTGTCACTGTGGATCATAAATGTGCTCACACAGGAAAAATGTATTAAAATGGTCACATTTATCCTCTGCAGGAAAATGTCACGCTCATTAAGGAAATTAATGACTTACGTCGGGAGCTAAAAGTCAGCCGTACGAAGGTGCATGACCTGGAGGTGGCTCTCGGGCTAGACCGGAAAAATCGGAAGAGCAGCCTTACAGATTCCAAAGGTAGTGACCTTTCTTTTATATCATGTGATGGTGAGTGTAATATTTCCTTTCAGTCCTGCAGCCGTGGTGCAGGGTCCTTTTCCTTTCAGTCCTGCAGCCGTGGTGCAGGGTCCTTTCCATTTCATCCCTTGGTGCAGGGTCCTGCAAGTCATTCCTGGTGTGGTGCAGGGTCCTTTTCCCTTCATTCCTGCAGTCGTGGTGCAGGGACCTTTTCCCTTCATTCCTGCAGTCGTGGTGCAGGGACCTTTTCCCTTCATTCCTGCAGCAGTGGTGCAGGGTCCTTTTCCCTTCATTCCTGCAGCAGTGGTGCAGGGTCCTTTTCCCTTTCATTCCTGCAGCAGTGGTGCAGGGTCCTTTTCCTTCATTCCTGCAGCCATGGTGCAGGGTCCTTTTCCTTCATTCCTGCAGCCATGGTGCAGGGTCCTTTTCCTTCATTCCTGCAGTCGTGGTGCAGGGTCCTTTCCCTTCATTCCTGCAGTCGTGGTGCAGGGTCCTTTTCCCTTTCATTCCTGCAGTCGTGGTGCAGGGTCCTTTTCCCTTCATTCCTGCAGGTGGTGCAGGGTCCTTTTCCCTTCATTCCTGCAGTCGTGGTGCAGGGACCTTTTCCCTTCATTCCTGCAGTCGTGGTGCAGGGTCCTTTTCCCTTCATTCCTGCAGCCATGGTGCAGGGTCCTTTTCCTCTCATTCCTGCAGAGGCGGTGCAGGGTCCTTTACCCGTCATTCCTGCAGCCATGGTGCAGGGTCCTTTCCCTTTCATTCCTGCAGTCGTGGTGCAGGGTCCTTTTCCATTCATTCCTGCAGCCGTGGTGCAGGGTCCTTTTCCTTTCATTCCTGCAGCCGTGGTGCAGGGTCCTTTCCCTTTCATTCCTGCAGCCGTGGTGCAGGGTCCTTTCCCTTTCATTCCTGCAGCCGTGGTGCAGGGTCCTTTCCCTTTCATTCCTGCAGCCGTGGTGCAGGGACCTTTCCCTTTCATTCCTGCAGCTGTGGTTCAGGGTTCAACTTTGAAGAAGCTAGGACTGGAGGAGGACGCAAAGTACAGCACTGGTGTGTGAAAAGGGTGGGTATTGCTTCAGGACCTACTTTCACTTTAAAGCTAATCTCTAGGAAAGCTAAACCAGCTGCCTTGCGGTGGGACTGTCTACACTGCAGGAGTTAACTGCTTGTTTATATATAGGGGATTTTGTAAAGCCCATTTTACTTACCCAATCCTCTGCTGCTGCAGACTGCTGCATGGTGTTAGAGAAGTCCCCACAGCCTCTTCTCTCCTGCACCCCAGCGGTCTGAGGTCCTTTGATGTCCTCAAGACCAATGCAGGGTCCATTGCTCTTGAGGATGCCGTGGAACAGTCCACTGCCAGAGCATGGGGGGAGTGCTGCCTGTCAGGGAAGTGGAGGATCAGGTAAGTAAAGCTGGTCTCACTATCCTCTAGACCAGTGGTCTCCAAACTTTTTAAACAAAGGGCATGTTTACTGTCCTTCAGACTTTAGGGGGCTGGATATTGGTGTCAGTGGGAGGAATAGTACCCCATTGTTGGTGTCAGTGGAAGGAATCATACCCCATCATTGGTGTCAGTGGGAAGAATAGTGACCCATCATTGGTAGTGAGAGGAATAGTGCCCCATCATTGGTGTCAGTGGGAGGAATAGTGCCCCATCATTGGTGTCAGTGGAAAGCAATAGTACTACATCATTGGTGTCAGTGGGAAAAATAGTGCCCCATCCTTGGTAGTGAGAGGAACAGTGCCCCATCATTGGTGTCAGTGGAAGAATAGTACCCCATCATTGGTGCCATTGGGGGGGGAATGGTCCCCATCATTGGTGTCATTGGGGAGCATGGTCCCCATCATTGGTGTCATTGGGGGGAATGGTATCCCATCATTGGTGTTAGTGGGAGGAATAGTACCCAATCATTGACAGTGAAAGGAAAAGTGCCCCGCCATTGGTATCAGTGGAAGAATTGTACTCATCATTGGTGTCATTGGGAGGAATAGTGCCCCATCATTGGTGTCAGTAGGGAGAATAATACCCCATCATTGGTGCCATTGGGGGGAATGGTCCCCATCATTGGTGTCATTGGGGGGAATGGTCCCCATCATTGGTGTCATTGGGGGGCATGGTCCCCATCATTGGTGTCATTGGGGGGAATGGTATCCCATCATTGGTGTTAGTGGGAGGAATAGTACCCAATAATTGACAGTGAGAGGAAAAGTGCCCCGCCATTGGTATGAGTGGAAGAATTGTACCCATCATTGGTGTCATTGGGAGGAATAGTGCCTCATCATTGGTGTCAGTAGGGAGAAATAATGCCCCATCATTTGTGTCATTGGGGGGAATAGTGCCTCATCATTGGTGTCAGTAGGGAGAATAATGCCCCATCATTTGTGTCATTGAGGGGAATAGTGCCCATCATTGGTGTCAGTAGGATTGTGCCCCATAGTTGTTGTCAGTGGTAGGAAAAGTGTCTTCTAACAGTGAGAGAAACAGTGCCCCAAGATCCAGATAAAGGCAAGCAAATGGCCACATCTGACCCCCGGGCCACAGTGTGGAGACCACTGCTCTAGACAGAAATAAGCATTGTGTGGGCAAGGGGGGAGTTTTAGTTTTACTGGAGTAGAGTTAAAACGAGTAAAAAAAAATGGTGGAGGAAATCATGTAAAAAAATTTCGGTGAGTTCTGCTTTAAGGAAGAAATGCCAGAAGGATAAGAGCAACTTTGTGATCGAAACACAAATAGTGCAGCTCTAAAACATGAAAATTACAAGATAACAAAACACAACTCAATAAGTAAACCAAAAAAATAAATAAAGTCCAAAGTCCTATATAGAAGTGACCACGGCTGCTGTTAGAAACCACGGGGCCCCATACAGCCAACCTGACAGGGCCCCCACCGCTCCCAAATAAGCACAGTTTGCTATGCTTCAGTTATGAATGAACACAGTGAGTGATCGATACCGATTGCGTGTACAAGAGAGCCAACTGCTCGCTCTAAAAAATGGTACCAGCTGCAGGCATCACTCCAGTATAACCACTGAAAGTCCACTGACAAGCAGGTACGTCGCTGGTCCTGAAGTGGTTAAAACTGGTTAAAAAAAACTTACATGGATACTGTGCATAAAAGCATGAAACAAACTACACATCCCAGAATTCCTCGAGGTACATGCGCGTTGATGTCACAGCCCCTGGCTCCTCCCAATGTGTTTCCTCGTAAATGACGTCATCAGGGGCACTTTGTAATACTATGAGGATCTGAAATAGTTATAGAATTTAACATATTGTGTTTTCCCTCTTAGCATCATCCATCGGCGGCCATCATTCCGCAGGGGTCGTACGACTAAACATGGAGGAGGAAACGGCGAGAATTATCGAGATGCAGAAAATGGAGATCAAGCGATTGCGAGATTTAATGCAATCGCAGGATCTCACATCGGGGTTCCGTCCTCCATCAGTGGGCAGATTACCGTCACTGACAGCCTCCTGAGACCAAGCAGACATTTTCAGATTGTATACTTATTAAAATAATACACATATTACCTGTGTCTCTGTATTTCTTTGTATGTGGATGTTTGTGTGTGTGTATATATGTGTATACACTATATTGCCAAAGGTATTGGGCCAGCCCTCCATATCATGTGATTCTAGTGTTCCAATCCCCTCCATATCATGTGGTTCAGGTGTTTCAATCCCCTCCAAATCATGTGATTCTAGTGTTCCAATCCCCTCCATATCATGTGATTCAGGTGTTCCAATCCCCTCCATGGACACAGGTGTATACAATCAAGCCCCTAGGCATGCAGACTGCTTCTACAAACATTGGTGAAAGAATGGGTCGCTCTCAGGAGCTCAGTGACTCCAAGCGTGGTCCCGTGATAGGTGGCCACCTGGGCAATAAGTCCATCCGTGACATTCCTGGCTACTAAATATTCCACGCTCAATTGTTAGTGGGATTATAACAAAGTGGAAGCCACTGGGAACAACAGCCACTCAGCCACCAAGTGGTAGGCCACGTCACATGACAGGGCGGGGTCAGCGCATGCTGAAGTGCACAGTGCGCAGAAGTCGCCAACTGTCTGCAGAGTCAATAGCTAAAGACCTCCAAACTTGGTGTGGCCTTCAGATGAGCCCAACAACAGTGTGTAGAGAGCTTCATGGAATGGGTTTCCGTGGCCGAGCAGCTGCATCCAAGCCTTCCATCACCAAGTGCAATGCAAAGCGTCGGATGCCGTGGTGTAAAGCACGCCGCCACTGGACTCTAGAGCAGGGGAGACGTGTTCTCTGGAGTGACCAATCACGCTTCTCTGTCTGGCAATCCGATGGACGTGTCTGGGTTTGGCTGTTGCCAGGAGAACGGTACTTGCCTGACTGCATTGTGCCAAGTGTGAAGTTTGGTGGAGGGGGATTATGGTGTGGAGTTGTTTTTCAGGGGTTGGGCTTGGCCCTCTAGTTCCAGTGAAGGGAACTCTTAAGGCGTCAGCATACCAAGACATTTTGGACAATTTTTTTGCTCCCAACTTTGTGGGAGGAGTTTGAGGATGGTCCCTTCCTGTTCCAACATGACTGCTCACCAGTGCACAAAGCAAGGTCCATAAAGACATGGAGGAGCCAGTTTGGGGTGGAGGAACTTGACTGTCCTGCACAGAGTCCTGACCTCAACCCCTTAGAACACCTTTGGGATGAATTAGAGTGGAGACTGTGAGCCAGGCCTCCTCCCCCGACATCAGTGCCTGACCTGACAAATGTGCTTCTGGAAGAATGGTCCAACCTTCCCATAGACACCCTCCTAAACCTTGTGGACGGCCTTCCCAGAAGAGTTGTTATAGCTGCAAAGGGCGGGGCCAACTCAATATTGAACCCAACGGACTAAGACTGGGAGGCCATTAAAGGTCATGTGTGTGGAAAGGGCGGGGCCAACTCAATATTGAACCCTACGGACTAAGACTGGGGGCCCATTAAAGGTCATGTGTGTGGAAAGGGCGGGGCCAACTCAATATTGAACCCTACGGACTAAGACTGGGGGGCCATTAAAGGTCATGTGTGTGGAAAGGGTGGGGCCAACTCAATATTGAACCCTACGGACTAAGACTGGGGGGGCCATTAAAGGTCATGTGCGTGGACCAATACGGCGGGCAATATAGTGTATGTGGATCTATATAATATTTGTGTATAGCAGGGGCGGACTGACCATTTGAAACTCGGGCACTGCCCAAGGGCCCGGGGTCAGTAGGGGGCCCCATGAGATGCCCCTGGTACCTTTTTTATAGGCTTTTTTGAGTGTGGGCAAGGACACAGGGGCCCCATGATCCCCTATTGCCCGGGGGCCCCATGAGTTGTCAGTCCGCCCTTGGTGTATATACATGTAGTATGTGTATGGGATTCCCTGGCCCTGTGTTTCTCCATCACTGTCACTGAACACTGCTACTGACACATAATTGCTATGAATGATTTATGGAAAGCATTCTAGGCAGACCAGTTGTGTCATGTTGTCTCGGTGATTTCATCGCAAGTAACGTCTAATTAACGTGAATTGGACCACATTCAAACTGAAGCCTCAAGCCGGCCATAGACAGATCGAATCTCGGATGATTTAGCAGGGATCGGCTGAGATTCGATTCTTCTATGGGCAGGCTGGTTGTACTCAAGTTGATCCATCGATCGCCTTAGGTGCAAGCAGCCTTTCGGATATTTTTACATGCTATAGCTGCTGGCAGTGATCATTGTGTTCTGCAGTCCGGGAAGGCTGCCCGCCAGCAGAACACAATAGCGCAGCAGGAGGGATTCCCCGATCAACACTGAATGTGTTGATGGGGGAATTGAGCAAATTTCTTTTCTCCCACTGTGGGTGACGGAAAGAAAATCGAATCATCTATGGCTTGGCTTACGCCTCGTACACACAATGAGAAGATCGTCCGTTGTTTTTTTCTTCTGCATGCTAGTCTCGTCAGATATGAAGAGGTTACTGAAGTTGCAAGAATTCTCGTACGACAGAATCCAACTTTGGAATTGATGTCATGTATTGTATTGTAATGTATTCTGTCTTTTCCGAGCATGCGCGGTCTGGATCACTCGATTTTGTTCGGACGAATACTATGCTGATTAAACGAAAATGGTTTGTTCTGGTGACATAACGAGAAAAATGTTCAGGCTTGTCCCTTTGGATAATTTTGCATGAACTGTCGTGATTGGCTCTCAGAAGCTGTGTACTAATCATCGGATGATTGGATTGGGGCAGAGGCAGACTGACCATTGGGAAACTCGGGCACTGCCCGAGGGCCCAGGGTCAGTAGGGGGCCCCATGAGATGCCCCTGGTACATTTTTCATAGGCTTTTTTGACTTTGGGCAAGGACACAGGGGCCACATGATCCCCTATTGCCCAGGGGCCCCATGAGTTGTCAGTCCGCCCCTGGATTGGGGTTCAAAGTCGCATGACAAGTCGCCCCCTCCTCCATGTTTCCTAATGGGTACCATTCATATCTGTTTGACTTCAAGTCGCTGCGACTTCAAAGTAGTTCTTGCACTACTTTTGGTACGACTTTCATGCGACTTAAGAGCCATAGACTTCAATGCAAACCCTCTAAAGTCACATGAGCGTTGCGCCTGAATGTTGTACATGCGACTTGTGTGCGACCAATCATCCTTGGTCAAAGCCAAATGTCGCACTTTTCCAAAGTCAAATCAAAGTCGCATCAAACTCACATGAAGTCACAATGAAAATTGCACGATTTTTAAGTCGCACAAGTGTGAATGGACCCTTAGTCCCCACTAACGATTGGTTGTCACCAGGACCGGCTCCCAATCATGTGACTGCTATGACAGCCAGTCACAGTGGTCACATGATTGCTGATCTTTCCTGCCCCCCCCCCGGGCGTTCAGAATTTTTTAAAGGGATGGGCACTGCTATGACAGCCAATCACAGTGGTCACATGATTGCTGATCTTTCCTGCCCCCTTTCCCCCCCCCCCCCTGGGTGTTCAGAATTTTTTAAAGGGATGGGCACCGCTATGACAGCCAATCACAGTGGTCACATGATTGCTGATCCTTCCTGCTCCCCCTTCCCAGGCGTTCAGAATTTTTTAAAGTGACGGGCACCGCTATGACAGCCAATCACAGTCACATGATTGCTGATCTTTCCTGCCCCCTTCCCCCCGGGCGTTCAGAATTTTTTAAATGGATGGACACCGCTATGACAGCCAATCACAGTGGTCACATGATTGCTGATCTTTCCTGCCCTCTTCCCCCCCCTGGGCATTCTGACATTTTTAAAGGGATGGGCACAAAGGGTTAAAAAGTAGTCTCAGTCCTACCTAGTTTAAACTTGTGGACTACAAAACACCTCCTCCAGTGACATTGAAAGGATGAAAGGGGTAGGTGTTCAGTAGTCCAAATCAGGACAACGCTGCTCCTCCATAAATACAGTATGGCGAGTGAGCGTTGTCACCCTAGCAGAGGAAGTGTGCATGAGGCAGGATGACTAGGAGAAAAGGCTGAAAAAAGCAAAAGTAATGCAGCCACCCCCTCTAAGCCTTAATAACATATTGACATATGCTGTTCTTTGGTATAGACGCACTTTAATAGAAAAGTTAGATCCAGAGTTCTTCTTTAAGACATACAAAGCACAATGCCAATTAATTTTTGACCACCTTTTGAAAAATGACGGAATCCTGGCTCCCATGAATCGATCACTATCTGGGGGCCTGGAATGAGGGAAGCGGTGAGGTTTCCATGTGTCGGGGGTCAGTATGGACAATACACTGTATATACAGCACACAATGACAGATTGTAGACCGTCATACATGAGAACAATGCAGAGACAATGGAGCCGTGCCAAGAGCCCAGAGCCTAATGTGCGCAAATAAAATGACGTCATCCCGTCATTCCTCACTGGGGACACAGACTGAGATATGTATTCCTCTATGAGGAAATGTTAAAGGGGAGCCCTGGGCCTGCCAGACGGGCTCGTTTTCAACCAAATCGGACTTCAAATTGACCTGTCCATGTGAGCTAATGAGTGAATAAGTGTGTTACAGTATATAGTATATAATATATATATATATATATATATAAAAACATACATATTTTTATATATATATATTTTTTTTTATAAATGATCATTATTCTTTATTTCTCAAATTAGCAGTTCTTAAACTACTTGAATAATTTTCAGGCTGTTTTCCTTTTTTTTCATCTGATAATTCTGCCAGTAACTCCTGTCCTAGAGTGACAACACTTAATACACTGTATCTATGGAGGAGCACAGTTGTCACCCTAGGACAGGACGTGTTTTAGGACTGCGCATCCCTTTCCACTCTTTTCAGGCTTTTTTTCCCTTTATTTTCTGCCTGTAATACACCTTCTGCCCTATGGAGACAATGCTGCTCCACCGTTGC